GTTTGCCAAGTGTGTAGGGTTGCCGGGTGTCTGGTATTTTCACCTCCTGGCTGGGAAAAAAAATCAGAAAATAGCAGACATTTTAGGTGTCCAGTATTTTTTTACTTGACAGGAGGCGAAAATACCGTACTGTCCGGGTGAATACCAGACACCTGGCAACCCTACATCTCACAGCTAGATGGGGGACAGTCTGTGTGGCCTACCCCAGGACCAGGCTGCTGCAGCCTGAGAGGAGCCAATCCAGCCTCTCCAAAACAGCTCTTTAAAGAGTGTGTCCAGGGTTGGCACTTGCCGGAGCACACCTCCTTACTTTCACTCTACTGAGGGCACTAATAGGAAGAGAGAATGGGCAAAAAAGAGCTTAAACCTTTGCCTTTGTTTTGAAATCGGCTTCTAGGGCCAACAGGGGTTTCATGTGCCAGGAATCAGAGGAGCATATGCTCAGAGTAGCAGCAATTCAAACATAATATTTATGTTTAACATCTATATTTGGATTTTATTAGTTACCTGCTCATATTTTTAAAGGTGATTGAGGAAAATGCAAACTAACTGTTGTGACCACCTTTTGAAAAAGTCAATACCACAGAAGATAGATAGGAGGGATAAGTTCCAGAGGCAGGGAAGATGCCAACCTCACAAGTCTGAGCTCCATGTGTGCAAATCTATGTGCACTACATCCTAACTTTTTCTTTATAAAATGCCAGCATCAGCTACTTTGTTACAGTTTATTATGTCTATTTACCTTCATCTTCCTTTCCCTTCTCTCATGCCACCTTCAGTTATTTAGGTCCATGCATGAGCCTGAACAATGTTTTATCTAAGCTACTTTTCTTTCCATGTATTATGTACCTAAGTCTGAGTGTTATGTATTTCTCTTTCTCCATCCCTCTTCCCCACAAGGGTCTCTCCTTAACCTCATCTCTATAATCTCTTTCATTACCCGTAGCACAGTCCTACCACTTTATCCCCGATCTGTAGAGCATGTTTCATCTCATTGCAACTGAGCAGCCAGTAAAGATTATCAACAGCTCTGTGTAATGGGTGTAGAGTTGCAGACAAGACATACTTCAGCTTCAACTATTCTCCTTTTTTTTAAATCATGAGAAAGGAGGAATGAAGTGATATTCAGACAACCCTCATCTCCATCTTCTTCCCCTAAGAGAAGCTTTAACTCCCTTTCTCCATCTACAACAAACTCAGCAATCAAGATCCACACCTGCAGAGAACTGGAGAGCACAATCTCCTTAGGAACCTATGCCAAATTGCTGTCCACAGCCCCGTTTGAGAAAACACTATACAGTAGCCCTTTTGTAGATGGAGAAAGATTGCTGGCCATGAGAACCTATGCCAAATTGCTGTCCACAGCCCCATTTGAGAAAACACTATATAGTAGCCCTTTTGTAGATGGAGAAAGATTGCTGGCCATGACATAAGTAATGTATGATTGATCCTGTAGCATACACTTAACGGCCCTGTAAAACTAAAGAGGAAATTTCTCCTTATATTAAGATCTGGACATTTCACCTCTACTCTGAATCAGATTCCTACACTGTTATAAATCTTTATAAACCTTAACTTTGTATTTCAGCCAAACTTCCATTAAATGTAGCTAGCAGTCTTAAAAGCCACCTCTTAATGTAATGTTTATATTCTCAAATATAAAAAACTGTTTATTATTTGAGAATCTTTTGAAGTGTATCAAATAAAATCTTTTAAAGACTTATGCTGGCAAAGTAGCATTGTAAAACATACCTCAAGAACTGTATGGTAGATAGACTCTCTATCACCACACTCCTTCCTGAAAACATACCTCAAGAACTGTATGGTAGATAGTCTATCACCACACTCCTTCCTAATTTTTAAATGTTTCACATGAAATTTAATATAATAAATTAAAATTATTTGCAAATTAAATCACTTATCTATAATCCATTTAATGTTAAGTTAGTTACCTGAATTTGTAAGTATCTGCTGAACAGGAGTAACACCAGCTGGCAGAGCCAAGGTAGCTGCAGTGGCAGCCGCACTCTGAAAGAGAAGAAACTTGTTTTTAAACCTTTAGCATTATTACCAATGCGTCATGTCACAGCACACTAGCTGAGGATTAAATAAGCATCTGTTGTGGTGAAGTACGACAAATGTACACAATCACTATAGCTTCTGTGGTGAAACATTTACTCTTAAGTTTCTGTTAAAAGCAAGAAGGACAAATACATATATTAGCTATCATAGAAATGTAACCTTTCTGATTTCTATTTGCCTGCTTTGACTATCTCCCTTCTTTCTATGTGCATTACACAAGCCCACTTCATTCTGCTTTATTTTCAGGTTTGCCAGAAAAGTTCTGGAAATAAATTTTGTTCATCTGTGCTCCCTCTGCTGGCCAGTTGTTGAGTAGCAGAGTATAAAACAAACACTGGTAATTTCACTTCCTTTTTTAAAAAAAACCCTCTGATCACTAAGTTACTTTAAAAAGCAATAGATTGTTCAAGTCAAAAGAGGAGTCTGGCATCTACTTTTCATGTCTTTGTCATTCTCTCAGAAAATAAGGTCTAAGCAGTCAGTGTACATCTAGAAAGTGATCTTATTTTAGTCTCAGAAAATAAGATGTGAAATAATATTTTAAATTAGGACTCTACATGCAGCTCTCTCCAAGTTAAAGTTAACATATTCATGGAGCCTGAATATCTGACTAACTACAGGAAAAAAAATCAAGGCTTAAAGTTAACTGTTCATATCCTAGAATAATGCCAACATCAAGAGTAAAAGAAGATAAGCTCCTACGAGTTTCCTAAAGAACATCTGACCAAAGTTAAGCATCTGATAACTGCTCAGTGAATGTATAGTGAAATTATTTTGGTTTTCTAAACAAGATCATTTTGTAGAATACAATACATACATTATGTGATCTCCTGGATCATCTATGTTAGGTTTAATCTAAATCAATGACACTCAAGGGGGGCAGGGCCCTCCCACTTTTTGAAAATTTACAGGCCTGACATCCACTTTTCACCAGGGCAGACTCTGCTTCCTTCTCTAAGGCTACACCCCTCAGCCAGGCCCACATGGGAGTCCTGCTAGTGAGACCAGGCAGCTGTGAGAAGCCACAGTGGACCCTTTACCTGCCCAGGGTGCAAGGCAACTGAGAGCAGCATCTCCTTGTACCCTGACTCCTTGTACAGCCAAAGACAGGTGGAGGTAGAGGGTCCATGACTCCAAACCAGATCCCTACAGCTACAACATGGTTCTGCTCAACCCGGCTCCAACTGAGAGAAGGGGAAGGCCTTGGAGCTGTAGCCCAGCCACGTTAAGAGCTGCACAGGCATTTATTAAAAACCTTGGTGCAGACCCTCCACTGGCTCTAGGCAGGGAGCTCATAGGGCATGAACATAAGCAAGTGGCTGCTTGGCCCATCCAACTAGGACAGTTGGAGGGTCTGCCACAGCTTCCCACAGCTGCTTACTCAGCTCTTACCATGGCTGGGCTATGGCTCCCTGGGCCTCCCCCTCTCTCCTCGGCTGCGGCTAGGTTGGGCAGAACCATGTGGGCAGTTGTAGGGATCCAGTTTGGAGTCATGGACCCTCCACCTCCATCTGTCATCAGCTGCACAAGGAGTCGGGACAAAGGGAGATGGCTGCTCTCAGTTGCCCTGCATCTTGGGCAGGTAGAGGGTCCAATAATGGATTGCAATAAAATGCATCCTAGCATTGAAATGTTAAATTCTGCCTGTGCCTCTGTATTTGAAGTTATTTTTTATTGTATCTACAATATAACCTGATCTGTAGAAAATTATGAACAAATTCTGTTATTCTTTAAGACCACTTTAAACAAGAATTATCCTCAACACAACAAGCCATGGCCACTAGAGGGAGGCTTTATTTTAGGAGGCCGAATGAATACACTGTTGCACAGATAGGTAGCCTTGGGACTAGGAATGTTAGGAAGCAAGTAATTAATAATCATGTAGTAGATAGAAATTCTATCTACTACACAATTAGATGATAAGGGAGGAAACTTTAGTCTTGCCTTGTGCCAGATCCTGAAGCTACCCCGCTGTGGCTCTGCAATTTAAATGTAGTAAGAGTGGAGCAGGCAGACAGCTTGGCTCCTACTACATTTAAACTGCAGAGCAACAATGGGAGTGTTACAGATACAACGCGAGCCAGGACTGAGCTGGCTTGCTCACGCCAGTCCAGCAGCCCCTGTCGGCAGGGGTCCTAGCGGGAAACTGGGACCCCTCGTGAATAGAGGCTGCTGCCAGAGGAACCTCTGTCTGTGGCCAGCCCCAACCACTGTAGACAGGGATGCTGACGGAGCAGCCTGTGTTTGCGGTCAGTTTGAGCTGACCATGAACAGAGGCTGCTTTGGCAGCAGCACCTGTCCACGGGGGTACCACTTCCCCACTGGAACCCCCCCACAGATAGGGGCTGCTCTGCAGGATGCTTCACCGTTTCCTCCCCTGCCTCCCTGCTGATGCCTCTGATAGAGGCAGTACCCCAGAGACAGTGCTGAGAGGAGCCGTCGTTTAAGCTGGCTCTCCCCAGCACCAGCTCTTGCTCCTCTCCACCAGCTGCATCTGATACAGAGGCAAGGAGGGGTGGAGAGGAGAAGGAGGAGGAGGAGGAGGGGAGAGGGGAATGCAAGTAGTCAACTTAACTACTCCCTTACATCCTTACTTGGGACACAGCAGCCAAGAAGCTGGTCAACCCTGAGGATGCTGAATTCAGATGACTATGGTCTACATCAATACCTTGCGTTAACTATTTTTAACAACTTAAAACAAGGAACATAGGTACTTGTTATACTAGGTCTGATTTTACTGTGGAGCTACACATTAACTAAACAGAATACAGTTGTTGTAATAAATTCATGACTTAGGATCATACCTCCTGACTAGTTAAATGAAAAGGATCAAATAGACACTAAGAAAATGTGAGGACTATTTCAAAATTTTAACTAAGTAACCAAAATATATTTTGGGCCAAACAGGGAGATGTTTGTGAAAGTCAGAGAATGCGTGAACAGTGTAACAAAGTCTGCAAATTAACACATGGACCAACCAGGTTTGAACTGTAAAACTTGACCTCAAAAGAGCCTTTGGATTTTAGTCCATATGATTCCAGTGTCTCATCTTAGTTCAAAAAATAAAAACTGATCACATGAGAACCAATTTTACATAGGCTGTCAAAAACAGTTCCAACTAGTAGTTAAATGTCACTTCAAATCAAACTTTGAGTATTTTGACAATTTTACCAAACCCTACTAGAATACAAGTAAGTAATATTTAAAATGATAAATGAGACTGAATTTTTCATGTTGATGAAAAATTATAGTGCAAAAGGAATTTAAATTTTACTATTGAGTAAAATGTGTATTTATTCTTTTATGCGGTGTAGTTATAGCCGTGTCAGCCCCAGGATGTTAAAAAGACAAGTTACTGGTCCAATAAAAGATATTACCTCACCAAACTTGTATGTCTATTTCTTGTTTGCAAGTAATCAGATCTCCCTTTAGTGACAGATAGATGTAATCACTAACCAGAACCTCCCAGAGGGTGACACTGAGTAGAAGCATGCTAGTGTCTTTCTGCTGTTTCTTTGCCCCACATCTTTTTACAGACAGGGGAAAGGACACTAAAAAAAGCTTTTAAAAACAAGCTGTGTCTGCTTGATCTACTCATTCTAGGTACAGACTTAAGAGTTTATTAAAGTAGGGGATTTTTTTTAAAAAACTTCAAGCTACAGTCTGTAAAGATCACATATTTAAATAGCTACATGCATATTGTATTGTGCTAAACTGAATAAGAACTAGAAACTCAGCAGGTTTCTACTGCTATTCTGTAGAATTTTCAGGAGAAGTCACATTTAGTTTGACTGTATCATACTGTTAAGTCAGTGCCCCTAGGATTCTGAAGAGAAGATCAGTCAACTATCTGGCAGACAATGACCAGATAAACTGCTGTTGCTCTAATTAACTGTGCAACTTTATCTATTGAGCTTTTCAATTTACATCAAGTTTGCAGCAAGTATTCTTTAGTACAGCATTTTAAATGTAAATAAATAAATTTCATTTGCACAGACTGTGTTTTGTTTGTCTTGGGATGCAAGATAATAGATATTTTTCCTCTAGCCTAAATTTGATGTCAAGCAAGCGAGAGAAAGTTAGCCTAGACAGACAAAATTCGTGAAGGAAAAAAAAAAGATAAATTAGGCTGAAAAGTTGTGAATTAACAAATGAGTTGAAGTAGCTAGGGGCCAGAAAGGCAGACTCAAATCTCTATACAGACATTATTAAGAGTTTATTACTTATAATATCTGAGGGCTGTCATACCTCATCTGGTAAATACAACAAAAGACTTGCACAAAAGTAAAAGTATTTTCCACTTTTGAAATCATCCACTCTTGAGATTGTCATCATACAAATCTGTATTAATATTAACTGACCTCCTCTCTTTCCCGCCCCAAAAAAGCAGTTTAACCCAGAAATATGCGTTATGAACCATGAATGACTCTTTGAACCTTGAGTGGCTCTTTAATGTACTGCAAAAAGTCACAGGAGATGCATGTTAAAACACTGTGTGATTTAATTATTAACCAATCAGAATGCTTTTACTATGTTATCAACCAACTGTAGTTAATAAAATAATAGTTGGTCAGTTATTTTGCTGTAAAAGTGTGTGGGTGTGTATGTATATATATAATACACACATACATACACATATAAATAATGTTTAAAGACACTTGATCTTAGCCAAAAGGACTATTACACATCATAGTATTTAAATCGGTGGTTCTCAAACTACAATCCCTAGCCTTGCAAGTGGGCCATGCCTCAAGGTTCAGCCCCCAACCTCTCTCTGCAGTGGGGAGCCCTCGATGGCACTCTACCCTTGCATCCCCCTGGCCTCCGCAAGGTTGGAGTGCCAATGCTGACTTCCTGCTGGAGGGGGCACAGGAGAAAGCCCTAAGCCTGGCCGCAGGATCTAGCTAGTGGGGGAAGAAAGCGACTCCACCTGCTGCAACTCTGCTCCCCCCCAGCTGGGGGATTAGCAGTGCACAGCTGTGATGCCTGGAGGCTTTCCCCATTGGTCCCACTGGCCAGAGTCAAGGCCAATGGGAGCAGTGCCTAAAGCAGCGGGGGAGGGAAGGCCCTTTCAAATTCAGCACCCCCATCCCTCTCAGGCCCAGACCCTATAACCTCATCTCCCTCATGTACCCCTAGCCCACTCCTTCCCCCTCCCCCTCCCTACTGAACAGACACGGCCCCCTCCCTTGCTCCTGCCCCCTGGACAGATGTTATACTCTGACACCCTCCCTCCCTTCCAGACTTCCCACCCTGAGCCCGCTTCTGCACCCTGCTTCCTAGCCAGACACTCCACCCTACTCCTGCACACTCCCTCTCAGCCAGACCTCACAACCTCACACACTGCTGCACCCAAACTCTCAGCCAGACCCCTTCACCCAGCCTGCTCTAGCACTCAGACTCTCTACCCTGACCTCCTCCTGCACCACCATCTCTAGCCCACTCCCTCACACTGAATCCCTCATTTTTGGCCTCAATCCAGAACCTGGGAGCAGGGACTCACAAAATATACTAATCCTGGAACTGCAAAAGAGTTGATCTGGCCCGTGGGGAGCCCAGAACCTTGGTTCTCCCTACACCTTCACACCCTTTCCCCCCAGTGGGACTGGAACATCAGAGGAATGAGGTATCTCACCTGGGGGCCACACCAGTGAGGGTTGGGATATTATTTGTTGTTTTTTGAGGGGTTTTTTTGCCTCTCACTTGTGTGGCCTCACTGTGGCCCCTGACCCAAAAAAGATTCCCCACACCTGCTAAATAAAGACAAGGTTGAAACCTTTTGTTTAGGACATAAATTAACTTTAAATTTACTTTTATATAAAAAAAAGTTTGATAAACTAACATGATAAAGTTAAAGCACTTAATCCATTTAATTATTTTGATTAATAACATTTCCTTTCTTACTGGTTATATATGCTCACTGGCATTATAGTTCAAGTGAATTATTTAGTATTATTTAGAGATAAGCTAAGGCATTTTGTTACATGGGTGCTTGGCTGGTGGTTGTCCGTGAAAAGGTTTACATTGAGCAGCATGAGCTGCGGGCCAAAAACTTTGAGAACCACTGTTTTAAATCATATATATAATTTGAGAGTTTGTGCATCTATCTGTGAAATCTGTGATTCTGTTTGTTCAAGATCTCCTTCTAAACAGTAAGAAGTAGGACCACCAAATTTGGTATGCAGCTTCTCTTACCCTAACTTAAAGCAAGGTCAGGGTTTAGTTGTGCCAGGGCAACGGGATGTGCCTGGAATTCCATTGTTTTCCAAAACATGGCAAGGGAGGGGACTGATCGGAGGGACAGTTATGTTCCACAGTGACCGCTGGGGGCAGCGACCACAGGGGACAGTTATCCTGCAGTGACTACAAGGAGACAGCTGCACAAGGAAAAGCGTGGCTGGCTGGGGCTGGCTATATTGTTGGCCACCAGCCCATGTAAGTGGCTCCTCTGTCCCTAGCCTCCCCCCCAGCCCTTGGCCGCAGTGCTGTACTGGAGGGCCTGCTGCCTTGGCTCCCTTGGGAGCACTGCTGGGCCAGGCAGTGCAACCCAGGCCCTCTGCCACTAAGGAGCCACACAAACACCCCATCCCAACACCGATGGGACCACCCGGTACGGCCCTTTCGTTCCCTGTGGCTGGGCTGCATGGCTCTTCCCTCTACCCCCCTGGAATGGGCCTGTGAAGAACACCCCCCCAAATAACCTCCTTCTTTATGCCAGGTCAGCCCTGAGGAGAAGCATGGGTGCATGGTCCATGCCTGGAGGACAAACTGCCCCCACTGCCCTGAGCTCTCCCTCCTCCCAACACCCTGTCTTGACTTCTATACCCCCACCTCCTGCTCTGAGCCCCTCCTCACCCCGAGCCCCTATTCATGTACCCTCCACCACTCCTTAACCCTGAACCCCAACTTCTGCATCCCCCCCACACCACTAGACTCATGCTCTAAGCTTCCCAAATCCCCAAGTCCCGGCCCCGACTCCTGTACCTCTCACATGGCCAGCCCCCTGCCCTGAAGGACCCAAGCAACAGTAGATAAGTATTCTAGTACAGGCAGTCCCCGACTTACGTCGGATCCGCACTTACGAACGGGGCTTTTCTTGCCCCGGAGCTCACGGGCAGCGGGTCGCCACCCGTGTCCTCCGGGGCGAGAAAAGCTTCTCCCGGTCTCCCTGGTCTGCTTCTCCCGGTCTCCCTGGTCTCCTGGTCTCCCAA